TTTTTTTCTTTTGTTTTTTCCCCCTCTCCTCCTCTTCGTTGAGGAGGGGGCTGAACGACATGCTGGCCCCCCAGCCCGGTGGTCGGCCTGCCGCTTCGCCGCATCACAAAGTACACAGTGCGGAACGGCGGTGCAGGTGGCAGCCTTGTGCCCGGACTGACCGCAACGGAAACACAATCCGCTGCGGTCGACAGTCGACGGGCATTTAGCGAGGCCATGCCCAGTACCGAAGCACCGGAGGCATCGCCAAGGTCTTGCCTCCTGTAGTTGCACCTGAGCCATGATCCAGCCTACGCGCAGCCTTCCAGGCGTGTTGGCAGGCTTCCCACTTGGAGGTGTGGCTAGGAGAATGGCCGCCTGCACGGGGCACCGCGCCCATGCGGTGCGGGCTCCGGAGTAAGTGCTCCGGAGTTCCCCCACCTTAACGTGGGCCAGGGCACAGTTCCCCTGTGATGCAATGGCGGCGGCCACTTCGTCCTGGGTCGCGCATTCATCGAGGCCCGTCAATTTGACTTCCGCCATTTTGACGGGGCGTTCGATGCGCACTATCTCTGGGTCCGGCAAAATCTCCCGGAGCCGCGCCACCAGTCTGTCCGCGGCTGCGCCAGATTGGGCGCCTGGACATTCCAGTAGCCGGGCCCCGTTAGCGGTGTGCCGAACCTTGAGCCCGCCCTCCACGCCTATGGCGTCGACATCAACGGCACCACGCGCTCGGCTCATTACCTCCATATAGGTAATGCCCTTTTCCTTTGCAGCCGGCAGTAGCTCCAAGACCACTGCCGCTGACCGCGGAGCGCGCGGTTTGCCGTTTCGACGCCTCTTGTTTTTTCCTTGAGCTGCCACTCGACCCTCTTGATGGGGAGCAGCAGCCGCTGGGGCGGGCTGGGGGCGTGCCGCAGCCGGCACCCTTTTTTTATTCTTATTGCCCCGCTTCACCACCTCAGTCCAGGCCACATCCATACTGGATGGAGCTGGAGGCAGCGGGTGGGGCTGGGGTGGCGGTACCGGCTTAGCAGCATTCACGTTCCCCTTTTTTTTCGTGCGGCTCCTACCGGGCCTCACCTTAACGGCCTGGCGCGTGTTAGCGGCCGTAGGCTGTGGTCTTGCGGGCTGGACAGGCGTTTGCCGTCCAGCGGGTCCATATACAGTGGCCCTTGATAATTGGGCCCTTTCAAGCTTAGCGAGCCCAGCGGACTGGGGCTTCGCTTGGGCGGCGGCTTTTCGCTCATGGGCGAGCGGCGGTCTTGCACGCTCCACCGGTGAGCTGCGTGCCTCCAAGATGGCGAACCGTCGCTTCAGCTCCGCCACCTCCGTGCCATCGGGTGGAGTCAGGTTACGGAGCTCCGCAATAAGCTCATCCACCCGCATGTGCAGCGCGGCGACTTCAGCACGCAGCTCCAAATTTTCGGCAAGCAGCCCTGCGTTCTGTGCCTGCAGCTGCTCAACCGTGTTTTTTGCCCTGCGGCAAGCGGCTCTGGTCTGCACCGATCCGGTCGCGACCAGTCCGTTTCGGGTTGACTTGCTATTGGCGAGCGACGCCGTAGCATTTGCCGGCCCTTCCTCGATCGCCAAGAACTTCGCGGCCATGGGCTCTCCTTCGGAGGAGTCGAGCGGGGCGGGACTCGTCGGCCGCTTGACCGTCTTCCGCTTCCGTTGAATCCTCCCTGCTTCTTTCTCCCCTTTTCCGGCGCTGCCTAAAGTTAACAGCCGCGGCGAATCTCGACCACTCGACACGCAACCCCTCGCGGAGCTTCGTGTCGAGCGCAGTGAGACCACGCTGTCGCAGCGCTCCAAGAGCACGATCGGGACCCTCTCCCTTACGCGGCTCGTGCTACCGCCTTCCTCGTCGTGGCAGTTGGTGCCCCCCCCAGAATACGAAGGGCAGCGTGCATCCGATTGCTCGGATGCACGGAGGGATTCTCCTCCCGCAGAGCGGGAGGTACCCTCCTGGGGTAATATCTTTTTACAACTGTCCATTACATTTGATTTTTTCTTTTTTTATTTAACCAGGGGTGAAGTCCCCTAGGATCGGGTGATGCCCTCGGGACTGGACTCCCTCCAGCCATTCATCCCCTCACCGGGCATCAAGGCTTGGGATTGGGGTATTTTTTATAGAGGTTTGCGTCCTCGCAGCCCCATGCCTTGCGGCAGCGGCCCCCGTCCCCCACCCAGTGGGGATTACGGGATGGCCGGCAGCCCACCGAGTGCACAGAGCAACTCGGCAGACCACCGCCCGACGCTCGAAACGAGCAACCACGAAGCCACGCCGGTGAACCGGTACCCCCCATATCTGGGGGGCGTTCCCCTGTAGCCGAAGCCGGGGACATGGCAACCAGCGGCCAGCAGTTGCTGGCTCACTTCCACGACAACGGGGCGCAGAGTGCCACCGCTCACGGCAGGCCGGCGAACCGGTGCCTTCGAAAGCTGCGCCCTCCAGAAGGAGCACTCTTCACTTAATGAAGAGTGTGGAGGGCGCAGTCCTTCCGCTCCTCCTAGTGCTGGTTTGGTCCGCGTCATCCGATCTCTTTCGTTGCAAAGCCTAACTAGGCTACCCTACTCCTACACCTAGCCTACCTACCTAACACCTAGAAATCCTTGCAACGAAAAAGATCGGACGATACCCCTGGGAGTGGGACTGTTCCCAGAGGATCCCGTTATCCGCCACCTACGGACGCGCCCGGTGGAAGTCCAGCAAAACTCCCCCACAGACGGAGCCCCCGGCCACGCAGAGTGCGCGCCGGGGGGCCCGCCCAGGTCCCTCGGGGGGAGGTACCCTCCTGGGGTAATATCTTTTTACAACTGTCCATTACATTTGATTTTTTCTTTTTTTTATTTAACCAGGGGTGAAGTCCCCTGGGATCGGGTGATACCCTCGGGACTGGACTCCCTCCAGCCATTCATCCCCTCACCGGGCATCAAGGCTTGGGATTGGGGTATTTTTATAGAGGTTTGCGTCCTCGCAGCCCCATGCCTTGCGGCAGCGGCCACCGTCCCCCACCCAGTGGGGATTACGGGATGGCCGGCAGCCCACCAAGTGCACAGAGCAACTCGGCAGACCACCGCCCGACGCTCGAAACGAGCAACCACGAAGCCACGCCGGTGAACCGGTACCCCCCATATCTGGAGGGCGTTCCCCTGTAGCCGAAGCCGGGGACATGGCAACCAGCGGCCAGCAGTTGCTGGCTCACTTCCACGACAACGGGGCACAGAGTGCCACCGCTCACGGCAGGCCGGCGAACCGGTGCCTTCGAAAGCTGCGCCCTCCAGAAGGAGCACTCTTCACTTAATGAAGAGTGTGGAGGGCGCAGTCCTTCCGTTCCTCCTAGGGCTGGTTTGGTCCGCGTCATCCAATCTCTTTCGTTGCAAAGCCTAACTACATTATCCTTACTTAAGCCTTAACCTAATCCTAAACCTAGGACCTTAACCTACATCTAAACCTAACCCTATACCTAGGACCTAAAACCTAAGAATCCTTGCAACGAAAAAGATCGGACGATACCTCTGGGAATGTCGCCAAGAGGATCCCGTTATCCGCCACCTACGGACGCGCCCGGTAGGAGTCCAGCATCTCCTCCGCAGACGAGACCCACAGCACGCAGATTGGGTGCTGTGGGTCCCGTCTGCGACCGGGCTCCGAAGGAGACCTAACAGCTCAAGAGTAGCTGCTTCGCGAATGAATCTACTACCGGATCGGAATCGCGACCCGCTGAGAAGATCCGGCGAGAAACTCAGCGAGCTGATNCTAGGACCTTAACCTACATCTAAACCTAACCCTATACCTAGGACCTAAAACCTAAGAATCCTTGCAACGAAAAAGATCGGACGATACCTCTGGGAATGTCGCCCAGAGGATCCCGTTATCCGCCACCTACGGACGCGCCCGGTAGGAGTCCAGCATCTCCTCCGCAGACGAGACCCACAGCACGCAGATTGAGTGCTGTGGGTTCCGTCCGCGACCGGGATCCTTAAATAAACCTGCCCGTACGTTAACCGACCATCGGGTTTGGTACCCGGTTCGTAGAACAGCGTGCTGCGGGTTCACCTCGGAATACACGTGTGTATTTCTTCGGTTCCACAGCCCGTTTCTGGTAAATGAAACTAGGGACACGTTGTTGCTGGTGTAATAACCAACGGCAGAAAAGTTACCGGCTGTCATGATCGTCATGATCGCTAGGTAGGTACCAAACCTTGCTGTGCACTTTTCGGGAGCGGTCTCCTAACACCCAGTATAATTGAAATATTCAGAGCGTGGTTAATAACTTTTCAGTCGTGGGCATTTATAGTATTTATGCATGGGTTCTCTATTGCAAGTGTGTTGACTACAGCATCTTTCACCACGTTTATTCTGTAAAGCATATCGTAAACAGAGTTCCATCTTGTGGGACAGTCTTGCTTTAATTTAAATTGTGGAACATTTAACTGGGATTGCATTTCGCGAAGTCTCGATAGAACTGCTGCTTTTAAGATATTCCACAATTGTCTTCACTTTTTTTAATTAACGATCAATGTACTTGAGGCTATCTTGAACTACTAAATTTGTTGCGTGGGCAAACATGGAAAGTGTCGCCATTGTGTTTGTTTCACTGTAGCTACGATGTTAGCTGCATTACCTGTTACGATTGCTGAGATTCTATTATATAATTTCCATTTATTGATCATAAAAGCAGCGAGATTTAAAGCCGTATGTCGGCTATCATAAGGAATGCAACTAATTAAATATGATTGTAACTTTTCATATTTATCATCAATGAAATGAACTGTTATTGCGAAATAGCTTTGGTTGGTCAAAGAGGTCCATCCATCGGTAGTTAAGCAAACCGCTGGTGCATCATCTAATTTATTTTGAACGTTATTTTTGACTTGACTATACAACTGCCTAATATAATTTTCAGATATAGTTTTTGTTAAAGGAGTATCATAGTTAGGATTAAGAATAAGCACAATTTTTTTATATTCTGGATTTTCTACAATATTAAATGTCAAATAAGCTTTAACAAGTAAGCTCATTTTTATATTTATGTGCGCTATAACATGGTGCGGGTGACGGATTCAGTAACGTTTCATTTCACTCTTGAAAGATGCCGCGGTTGACATATTATAACTTTTTAACGTAACGCCATAGATGTATTTTGTGATGGGATGTACTACTACGATGGATAGTCGATTTTTTGAAGTTATACTTCTTTAGGCGCGTTTTTCGAGCTCCTCGGTGCATGGATGAGGTTTATCTGGCAGCAGATGTTTTCCGTGGATATATTGGCAATAAGACATTGAGTTCTCGAATATGCTATTATCACTATAACGCCCGTAGCTAACGACATCAATGATGGTGAATTGCAACATGGTAACATTGGTCGACTATAGCAAGAAGAACTACAGAAAAAACTTCTTGTAGCAAAAATATTCTGATCCACTATTTTTTTATTGCCCTTGTGTAGGCAGACGAGCATACGGCCCACCTGATGGTGAGTGGTTACCGTCGCCCATGGACTTCAGCAATGCCAGAGGCAGAGCCAAGCCGCTGCCTACCGTTTAATACTCTCCACAAGCCTCGTTTGAAGAAGGACATGTCATAGCGTTCGGGAAACACCGTGGAGGGGAGCTCATTCCATAGCCGGATGGTACGTGGCAAGAAAGACCTCTGGAAACGCATGTGGATGACCGCAGTGGCTCCAGGTAGTATGAATGAACTCTACTCCGGTGACGGGCGGTGCGATGGTAAAAACGAGATGCCGGTATCATCTCGAACAATTCCTCAGAGCACTCCCCATGGAACATACGGTACAAAATACAGAGGGAACCGAAGTCCCTCCGCAGACCCAGAGGTTCCAAACGATCCGTGAGAATGGGATTATCGACAATCCGAACGGCCCTCCTCTGTATGGAGTCATGGAAGAAGCTGGTATTTGGGAGTCCCGACCCAGAGATGCAAGCAGTACTCCACGCGAGGCCGGACTTGTGCTTTATAAAGCAAAAGCCTTTGTCCAGGCGTGAAGTACCGCTTCGCTCTGTTGAGGACTCCCAGCATTATGGACGCCAACTTGCCTTTGCCTTCCAGATGACTCCGAAACTGGACATCGCTCGAAATGTCGACCCCAAGTATCCCAATACTCTCGGGAGGTTGCAGGGATACTCCTTGGAATTGCGGCGCTATGACAAATGGGTCCTTCTTCGCAGTGAACGCGCAAACTTGTGTCTTTAACGGATTGAATTGAACCAAGATCAATTCACCCCATTCGGAGACTCGCCCCAGAGAGTTCTCCACTTCAGACACAAGTTTTGATCGTCTCTCTTGCACCACACTCCGAGAGAGACTGATGGCCGATATATCGCGCATTCCCCGTGCTGTCATCCGCATAGCAATGCATGCCATCAATAGACAGCATGTCATTGATATACAGGATGAAAAGCGTGGGGGAGAGCACCGAACCTTGTGGAACGCCAGCGTTAATGGTCATAGTATCAGAACAGTCACCGTCTACAACGACCGTGATGCTCCGCCCATCCAAAAGCTAGCGATCCACTTGCAGAGACCCTCGGGGATTCCGTAAAATGGTAGCTTCGACAGAAGTGCCCTATACCAGACCCTGTCGAAGGCCTTCGCGATATCAAGGCTAACAGCAAGAGCCTCACCCTTGCTTTCCAAGGCTTCAGCCCACCTGTGAGTAAGGTATACAAAAAGATCGGATCATGACGGAAACCGTACTGTCGGTCACTGATCAGCTGGCGATCTTCAAGATACTTCAGGAGTTGTATATTTATTATTCGCTCCATCACCTTGGAAAGCAAGGAAGTTATCACGATAGGCCTATAGCTCGATGGGTCCAACCAGTCACCCTTCTTGGGGATAGGGTGGACGTTCTATGAAGACGGAACCCTGTTAGCGCAATAAGAGAGGCGATACAAACGTGTTAGCGCAGGCGTCAGCTCAGGGGCGCACGTTTTCAGAACAATTGTAGGGATGCCGTCCGGCCCACTCGACTTATGGACGTCCAGATGTCGGAGCTCCCGCCTGACTGCACACTGAAGCAGATCTCCGGCAGGGAGCTATAACACCGGGAGATGTTCGGTGGTGTGACACCCCCGTCGTCCACAGTCGAGTTCGAGGCGAAGAGTTTGACCAGAAGGTCAGCCTTCTCTTTCGCAGTATGGGCCAGACTGTCATCGGACTTACGTAGCGGTGGGAGACTAGACCTGCAAAAGTTTCCTTCTGCAGCTTTGGCGAGCGACCAAAAAGCATGGCTCCCAGAGGGATAGCTCTTCAGTCGCTCGCCAATTCTAGCAACGTGCTCCGATTTCGCCCTGGCAATAACCTTCTTGTAGGACCTGGAAGCGGCTTTATATTTCCGCCTTTCCTCTGAGATGTTAGGATCCCGACGCCTCCTGGCATCATCCCATGCAACGTATGCAAACCGCTTGAGGTGTGCAGCATCCCTGCTGGCATTTTTATACCAGGGTTTGCTGCTACCCCCAACGGGCACTTCAGAGGAGGGGATAAACAATTTCATCCCTTGGAGCACCACGTCTTTAAGACGGTCCGCACAGACGTCAGGATCAGCAGAGGAAAAGCAGAACCTGCCCCATGGGTAGGATGCGTAAAATTCACGCAATCCATTCCAATCTGCTGACAAATACTGCCAAAGTCTTCGATACTTGGTCGTCGTTCGACGACTAGGACGAGAGAGTGGTGTGGCAGCAAGGATAAGGCAGTGATCAGACGATCCAAGCGGAGCGTCGACTACCACACTGTATCCGGCTGGATCAGTGGGCAGCAGAAGGTCCAACAGAGAAGGCTCGTGCCCCTCAATATCTGAGACACGGGTGGGCTACGCGCAGCCACAAGAGGGACAGGTCCCGTTGTTCGAGGCCTCGTAGACGGCGACAACCGACATCAGCCCGAACGAATACACACACCCCGGCTTTACGCAGGAAGTTGTGCTCCAATACGTAGCCGGGGTATTCAAGGTACGAAGTATCCTCCGGAGCAGATATTTGCGTCTCCGTCAGAAAAAGGAGAGCAGGCTGCGCCGTCTCAAGATGGTGGTGTACGGCGTCGAGGTTGCTATGTAGGCCCCTTACATTGCTGAAATCCACATTAAATGTGGAATAGGGCATCGCCGACAAAACCCTTTTCCTTTTTTGTGCTGTCATATTATTATTATTTTTTTTGGAGTGGGATTGGGTGGGGTAGGAATTTCGAACCGAAATCATGACAATACCTGAATAAAGCGCGGAACACAGTACTTGCTCGACCACGGGTTGCGGGAGAGACTGACGAAGGGCATGGAAGGGCCCCCAGTCCACCCTGCGTGCGATCGCCGGGATCCACTCCGGTCTCCGACTCCGGCACGACGACCGCACGGCAGGATTTTACACCGGTTAGCGGGACAGCTTCCCGGGGCGGAGTTTAGTAGTGACACCGGGGTTCAGGTCCCCAACTGACCGGCGGGCGGCGGCGAACACCGTTTCACTGGGTCTCTCTATACCCCCGTCAAACAATCACGTCCCGTGAGCTTACACGCATGTCTGCTCCGCATGTTCCAGGTATCGCCAAGATTCACCCCCAACAAGGAAGAGAAAAGGGAAGGAATAAAACTGGCTATCCAACCCACACGCCGGAACACAGCTAGGCTATTTGGCGGCGGACTCTAGTTGGAGGGTGGTCGCCAGCCAGTCGGACAAGTCCTACCACCGATTATGTATTCGGCTCCCGTTTAGCACCACCCAGGGGTCACTTGTAGGGAATCGCGGGTTAAACCTACGGAAGCGGGAAGCAAACAACCCCCAAACATTATAGTAATGCACATACACATAGGAAATTTTGTTAAACTTGAATACAAAATATTATAAGTAACACAGTATATACGAAGAGTATAGAACAATGATCATTCGGTTGATGAGAGATAGAATTGTTTGACCTTGCAGTTAAAAACAGAAACAGACTTGCAAACTCGGATGTCAGCCAGCAACGAATTCCATAATCTGACCGCGTGCACAGTAAAGGAGTGAGAATAGAAATTGATTTTGTGGGAAGGGAATAAATAACAAGACAACGTTGGTTGGATCTGCAGGGAGCATCAGGAGGACGAATGAAAGATTGTTATATTTTTGTAAGAATTATCTTTCGCATTTAATAAGCATAGGTATTTTCTAACTAATTCTATGAATTCGGACATTATTCAGTTAAAACACACATTCACTCGAAGGCTAAAATAAAATTTGTGAAATTTACAATGCTTGACGTCAGAGCGTTTGACAGTATATTACCATATAAACCTGTGTCAGTCAATTGTTTTCCATGACCCGGGTCGATCGTGACCCATTCGTATAGTGATCGGGTTAAAAAGATTCAATAATTTCGGTCACAGTTCGTATGTTGTATCTGATCTATTTAATATAAATGACCGAATGATTGTGCGATCGATCTCGTTCTCACGTTAGAACGAGAATATGGACTATCCGTAAGATTCCGATAAGGACAGGTTTTTTTTCGTAATCCTTATTGCTATAAAAACATAACTATACTATTATTTTTAAGATTTATTATCATTCAATAGTTTTTTTTTTTATCAAAACGTCACTTTTTGCTTAATATTCTTCGTGCAATATTTCCAAAACGCAACGATATTCGTGAAACACCCGTGACATCACGTGGCTACATTCGGTTCGGAAATATACTTAGGGCCGTAATATCTATCGTAGTTTAAACTAGAGAACACAGTTTATTCTTTCCTTTTCGTTTCTTTTGTAATATCAGTGACAGTTCATCGACCCAACACAGTTTAAACTATCAATAAGCTTTATTAAACCTTTCCAGAGGGGGCGTTTCAACCTTCATGGATTAGATAGATCTGACATTTATGTCATTGTCAATAACATTAAAAGATTTTTATTTGGGTGTTTTTGATATTAACTAGTAACATAGAATATTACAATAGTGATTCGGATTCCGATATCGATGATTTCAATTATTTATATATACGTCGGCTCAAATATGACTATTTACCTACTGATCATCAACTAATTACTCTATGATAAGAAATTGATGTTAAACAGTTCCTTTTATTGTAATTGCAATACTTTAAAAACGTGTAAACACGCTCACGTGTTTAACACGTGTAAACGCGCTCACGTGTACGAAGCTCTATAATAAATACGGCCGTGCTGTCTAGCGCTCAGTCATTCGTGTCCGAGCCATTGCACTGTACAGGTCTCTCTAGAACGTTATTAAGCTCCTCGTAAAATATACGCAGTTTTAGTGAAGTTCTCGTGAAGTTTTGTTTCGGAAACCCAAATATGAGTCATCGTCAAAGAAAGTAATAACCGTCACACTTTTTCAAAACATTACAGGCGATTCTCCTCCGTCATGTATTATAGTAGACCGTACGTTATTCGTACAAGAAACAATCAATGGTGTAAGTGGGACGATATAGAATTCATACGGCGTTTTCGTGTTTCCAAAACAGTAGCACAAGCTATTTTATGTGAATTGAAAACCATGTTCGACATCCTACTTCACGGTAAACATTATTTTAATTATATCGAAATCGAATACTTAATAAATTCCTTTCCAAATGAATAGGTAAATTACTAAAAAATTATATAACCTGTGTATATGTGTGTGTAAACACAGATTATATAATTTTGTTGTACATTTCTGTATTTCATTGCATGTTTTTATTGCTTGTTATTATAACTAACTCATTATATTCCAGACAATTATATAATGATTTTTATTATTTCAGGAATAACGCATTATCACCAATGAACCAAGTACTTACATTAAGATTCTATGCAACTGGAAGTATGCAAATAACAGCTGGAGAATTCAGTGGAGTTCATCAAACTACAGCAGGAAAAACAATTAAAAGTTATTTTCCTTTGCGAAAGCGCGGCTAGCGAATAAGAGCGTCTTCGTATGCAATGGTAAGTATTCTGCTACATATATTGTCTTGGGACCTCCGGGTAGGCCAATCAGCTCAGTATTTAGCTTTTCTGGATTGGGTCGCTTTTTGTTAAATTCCTTCGAAGCCTTGATAAAGTTCAATTTGTGGTCGACCCGAATAAATGCCGCAACTATTGTCCTATGGCACCTGGCTTTCCTGGTAGGCGGCGAAGATCGCGAATGTCTGTGGTGGCGGTGTGTAGGCCTATGGTGATACCAATACTTGAGACTATTTTGTGTAAATCCAGGCGAGACTCCTTCTCTTTGACTGGTATATTTTGGATCTCAATACAGGCATTTCTGGTACTGAGTTGCTGGTCTTTGAATTTATTCTCCAGGACAGCCATGCTCTCAACCAGTATTTTACGACCTTGCTCCATGTCTGCGACTTTTCTAGTGATCTCTTCATATTGAGTGTTGATAAATCCCATAGATTTTTCAATTTCCACAAAAGACGTTTCAATTCTGAATTTTAAGACTTCAACTCAGCGACCTCAGAAACGAGTTTATTTAACAGAGCATTTTGTTGCTTCAGCAGCTTTGTGATATTTTCTTCACGTGTAGTATTCCAATACTCTAACTTTTCTGCGATCTCTTGCTTCAATTCGTGTTTGAACACTTGAAGCTCACTGATAGGCGAACAATCACTTTTAAGTTTTTTGTTTCTTGGGTAGACATTAATGTTGTCATGGTGGACAGGACCAGTCGGGGTTGCCGTATTTGGATCCGAATGGGCCTAGGTAAGTTTTGGTGGTGTTCTTCGAGTGTTAGGCATGTTAATAACTCAATCTGCAGTCAATAAGAGCAAACATCCAAGTTCACATCAAACGTAGAAACTCAGCTAGCAGGGGCCTAAACATTGCTTAAATCATGTAAATTTGGACGGTTTTGATGCATTGGACAATAGCCTACGTGAAAGCTAATGTCAGGAATTATTTTGTTTGACAGATAAAGCAGAGAAGAGAACCAAATCTACCATTTCTCTATAGTCTTCATGCATTTTTTTATTTACTTTGACATGGACGTTACTCTAGCAAAATAGGTACTCGGGAAGCTGCAATCGCTTACAGTGTTTATATTAAATTTCTTTAATAATTTCTCTGAATATTTTTGTTGGCGTAATTTAATACCGCTATTTTCCGTCTCGATGTCTAAACCAATACGATTATAATTAGATACGTTCTCACAAACACTTAAATCAAATTCTTTTTTTCAATTTATTAATAATTTCCTCTAAATACTTTAAATTTTCACCGATAATTATTCTGTCATCTACATAAATTCCTAGGTTTTTTTTTTATCTCCTTTCATATTTGTTACCAATCTTCTTCTTGCTGCCTCCTATGCTATCGCTTGTCAACCAAAGATCATGTGTTATTTTCTTTTAAAGAAGCCATTTCTTCTTTGATATCTTTTAAACAGTTTTCCTTTTCTTTTGAATCAATTGCTTCCTCGAGCGTCAATAAAGAGAACTCTCCATCTTCCATTATAAAACCTTTGTATCTATCTGGTGATCTTCTGTTTCACGGCGGTCTTCCAGTGCTTGTATTTTCTAAAATTTGTTCATTTATTCTCTCAATATTTTCACTGTTAAAAATTCTTCTCTTTCATCCACATCATCACTACTTCTTAAAGTCTCCACCAGACTTTCATTTGTTAATTTGCTATGATTTCTTCCATTTTCATTTGTTTCGTTGGCATTTGTTCCGCAGTCATTTGTTTCAATGTCATTTCTTTCACTAAATATATGTTTCTTCAATACTTATAATTATTCCTCTTTCTTCTTGGTTTTCATTTCTTCCTCTATTATTTCGTCTTATAACAACACCTTCTCGAACTTCTCTGACTTCATCTTCACGATTATTTTCATTTGTGGTACTTCTGTTAGTGTTCTCCCTTTTATCGCCCCAAAGCCCATTAATTACTTCATTACCTACTAAGTATCTACCTAGAATTCCTTGTTCGTCTTCAAGCCAAATTTCATAACCGTTTCATACGTAGCCAACCAGTATACCCTTCTTGCAACGATCATCAAGCTTTTTTAGTCCAAAATTTATTTTGAAATATGTAATATCTGGTTTTATTCCAAACCACAATTCTGCAGGAGTTTTGTTTTTTCCTTTTGTTGGACATCGATTTAATAAAAAGCTAGCCGCTTATACAGCGAGGATATAGCTCCATCTAACAGCTAGATTCTGTGATAGAATCTTCTTTAATGAATTCCACTTCGTCTTTAAACCTTCTGGTTAATTCGTAAAAAAAAAAATTCCACATCTGTATTATTCCAAATTGATTTAAAAGTGTTAAACTTTTCCGGTAGTCTATACTAATATTATAAAGAGGAAAGATTTGTTTGTTTGTATTGAACAGGCTCCGAAAGTACTGAACCGATTTTAAAAATTCTTTCACTGTTTGGAAGGTACACTATCCCTTCTTTTTTTTTCGGGCCGGTGGCCGAACCTCCTAGTCCGCGTATAAGGAGCCCGTGGGGTATGTGAGACTCAACGATCTGCATGGTGTTGTAAGCAGACCGCGGGCCCAAGGATTTTAGGGCCCACCCACTAAACGACTCCCCTGCACTCTTACACCCGACGTCCGATCCCCTCCGAGGTCAGGACTCGGATGAGGTAGGGGGGTTACCGCGGTCAACACTACAACCAGACGGCGCGGCTCACCCCAAGGACGTCCAGGCGACGGAGCCTTCGAGGCATATCGAAGGCTCTGGAAAGTCGGCCGTCTCGGTACGGCAGCCCGTCAGGCCGCCCAGACGGTACCGTTGGTGTCCCGGAATACACCACTGGACCAGAACCAGTCTGCCGGGTCGGGACGCGATACACCGCTCTAACCCCATCAGGTCGCTCCTTGACCTTCACCGGAGGGAGGCCGCTACCTACAGAGGCCGGAACGCACGGGCGTATTCCCGCCTCCAGCCCCCGGCTCGACGGCGACGGATCGGTGCGGAAAGGGAAGAGCTCTCCCTCTCTCGCTCCGCCGCCTCCTTCTGCGATATGGTGGACTCGCAGAAGTCTAGCATTGCCTTCCAGGACGCGTCGCTGCCGAGCATCGCAACCACGACGCACGGCAGCGAGAGGTCCTCTCCTATGACCGCGACGAGGGCGGCGTGTTGCTCGTAAATTTATAATTTTGTACATAAATCTTTCTTCTGAAATTTTGTTTTCTTTCCTCGTGATTTCAAATTGTATATTTTGTAATTTATTGATATCCTCTAATGTTTCTTGAGTATTGCATCTCAAAAAAATTCATTACCTGTTTCGTATCTTGTCATCTTGTATGTTATAATCATACATAAAATCTAATTTTTAAAAAATTTCAATAATTATCCCCAAATTAATTATATAATGTAAATATTATTATCAATATAACTGATATCGGTGGACTCGCAGAAGTCTAGCATTGCCTTCGAGGACGCTTCGCTGCCGAGCATCGTAACCACGACGCGCGGTAGCGAGAGGTCCTCTACTATGACCGCGACGAGGGCGGCGCGTTGCACGTAAATTTATAATTTTGTACATTTGTTTTCTTTCCTCGTGATTTCAAATTGTATATTTTGTAATTTATTGATATCCTCTAATGTTTCTTGAGTATTGCATCTCAAAAAAATTCATTACCTGTTTCGTATCTTGTCATCTTGTATGTTATGATCATACATCAAATCTAATTTTTCAAAAATTTCAATAATTATCCCCAAATTAATTACATAATGTAAATATGATTATCAATATAACTGAATATCATAAATTTCTCCTTATTTTCCAACTTTTCCTCTTTTTTATCGTCTATTTTTATACACTTTTTATCCAGTAATAATTTTATTGGCTTCCTTCAAACTATACAATTAACCTTATTTGTGAAAGGTTTTATTTTGATTGAATCCATTATTGGTTGCTTTGAATGTTTGTGTATAAACAATTTGTTTCCACGGTTACGTTATAGGCTTTTAATCAGTAAACATTAATAAGTATTTATCCTTTACAATTGTGCTGGGCCCATAACGGTTATTTGAGGGGACTGGACTCTGGAGGTATTTTAAAACACTTACTTCATGGTTAATATATATTACAAACACTACACTATTACACATTTACAATATTTTATGTTTATACAATCCTAGAATGTTTCACTGTCCGTTTCTACATGAGAAGTAAGTTGTCATAACGACAATCATCTGTTATAACACATTTAAATAAACATTCCGATATTCGAAAACTGTCACTTCATATGTGACAAGTGTTGCCTGATATTACTTAAGCTTTGGTTTCATGGGATAGCGGTGCCGTCATACAACGGCCGTAATATTACGGACCCCAAAAGACGGCCGTCTTTACAGTGAAGACATGTAAACATTTCAGGCCGTATTAACAAACCGTCGTCATCCCCGTGCCAGGCCTTGCGCAGTTCGGATCCGATAATACGGATCAATATTCCCGTTGTGTGTGAGATTTTTTACTGGATCCAGAATACTGTCATATGTGTGAACTGTCTCATACAACTACATACGCTAATAACATATACGTTTAAACGGACCTGTAAATGGGATATTCAATGTGTACGCGCCCTTACGATGTCAGTTACCGCCAGTACTTCCAGATGCCAAAAGTAAAATTTCAGTGTTGTCAGCTACAAAATACAGTAGTTTCTTCAAACAATACAGCGGATTTCAAAATCGATTACAGTAAAATTAGATCCCAGAATCGACTTACTATATTTGTCTACGACACACATTGTTTTCACACTGGCAATTTCGCGTTTCAAATCTTCTATTAAACATTCTCTTTCAGAAGCTCCGATGACGTTGTTTTCTTTTGCTTGTAATTTAGTATACTTAAGATTAACGTTACTTGCAATTTTAGAATCTGGAAAACTTTATGGAAGTAAATCACCAGATGATTCAACAAGATGATCCATCACTATGAGCGATGGTTTCTGCCATAAAGGCCGGAATTTTATTTCCGCAATTTTCCGTTGCTCGTCATCACTTACACGTTACGGACTCTTAAAAATATTATCAATGGTACGCGTAAATCGGCATTTAATGAAGAATCGCAGATAGTGCAAATACATTTACAAGCAGATTTTTTGTCAGGTTTTAGCCACTTACGAAAGTCTTGTATTTGGAGCCATTCCTCACGAAATTGCTCCCGATATTTCTTTTTTGCACTTGACGTACCAGCAGCACCACGAACATCACTTTCCTCACTACTTGAGCCCATTTTTTACAATTATATAGTTTTTAGTTTAATTTACGTCACTCTGACCAAATTTAAATAGAAAATTATGCCAGTTACTCGTATAAATTCTGCTAAAATCTGCTTTGTTTTTGTAAATAATTACAAAATTCTGCTAATAGACGAGGTCATCATTTGTACGAGGATAGAAGATAGAGGATAGATAAAAGAAGAAAAAAAGGCAAATAATTAATTTCAAATATTTATTAACGAATTATAGCTTCTTATTTTCTGTGGCGTCTATGTTTTTATACTGTCCAGATTTGTGCTGCCTTTACCATATTTTTCGATTGTGTAAAATTGACGCATTCACCTTGCTCTTTAACTGCCTCTTTGATATGAAGAATTGCAGCAACATGTTCATTTTTAAATTTCTTCCGCAAGTCGGTTTTTGTATTGTTCATTTAAGAAAATAAGCTCTCACAAGCTGTATTAGACATTGGCGAAATCATCATAGCCTTTGCAAAATCAGTCAAGTGCGGATATTTCTCCTTCTATCAGCCTATGTCATTTTCGAAATGTGGCCCCAAAATATTTCTGTGTTCAAACTCATAGGTGTGGGATTAGAACTTCCTCCAGATTCTAACAGATCGGCCATTGTTTTGTCTAATTAAACCTCCCGATATTCGGAGTCAATTGCTTGTATGTCAGATTCTTTAACCAAATTAGGAAATTTAGAAACAGTTCTGGCCAAAATTGTTAATCCTTTGTATACAACGTTTTGTGGATCAAGAAATTGCATTTGCTCAAATAGTTCATCGAGAGGTAGACGTGACTTTAGTTCAACGAAAAGTTTAATCAAAAAAGACTATCCGCTGCAGGAATGGTGTGATTTCTGTTTTTTGTTTTACATCTCTAGCTAATGATTCAATTAATTTCGTTACGTGCA